TTTCTTTTCATTGTCCCAGCCTGCAGGTATAAAAACTGCCTCCTTTTCCACAACTAAGGCAGGTGTGGGAAAGTGGAAACCATATGTTTTATGAACAATGTACTTATACAACAAGTTGAGATTTTTCTCTTCTTTCACTGATGTGTAAATCAAGGCATCTCCATACTGGAGGCAGAACCTCTGAAGGTGCGACTGGATGAAGTACAAGTGCTCATCCCTGTAATCATGTTCCTTCTCGAGGATGCTTACTGCATCACACTTTGTGTACACCACCAACACTGGGATCCCCAGCTTATGAGTCAGCATGTTGTCACCCAGAGGCAGGGCAACATTTTCTTCATCAGAGCCTGAGTTGAGAGGCCCTCTTCTCTGTGGGGAACCCTGACAACCTTCTTCAGACTTCATATAGTCTTGAAAATCTCACAAACTTTAGTTCCAGTTCTCTTATTTCTTCTGGTGGAATTTTCATTTTATCAATGTGCTCATGTAAAACACTAGCCCACTTTTGTAGAGATTCCATTATAGTCCAAGGCCTAGGCATGTCTGCAACAAAAATGACCATGGTCTCTGGCAAGCATTCAGCAGAAACTGCAAACTTCAGCAGGCCTTTGTGGTAGAGGTCTCCACCCAGAAGCCACACATTGCAGTATGTATGATCATCTCAGTCCTCATCAAGGATGCTGATGTAGAGATACTCTAGTCCTCTTCCTCTTTTGCCATGCTCTGCTCCTTGTAGTTTAGTCATGAGAGTTGTTTTACCAGAACTATCTTCACTGAAGACCAGGATGTTCTTGCTGGATGGCAGCTTGGACCTGGCGTGGGTGAACCCTTCACTCAGGATAGAAGACCACAGGCTCTGGCCCTCCTCCTCTTCACTGGTTAAGTTGCCAGAGGCAGCCACCACAGGCCCATTGGGACCCAGCAGCAGCTTTTTCTCTACCCCCACTGGAGCCATCTTGCCACCTCTACTGGCTCTTATTTTTTGAAAGTTTACCCTAGCATATTTTCTTTGTCTCATATAAAACATGGAGAAGCTAAAATGCAGTTCTATATGTTTTTGTTTGACTTCATACATGAAATACAAAATACAAAATCTTGTCCTCTGACACATGCTTTAGAATTTGGAATTCAAAAGTAGCCCTGTTGTCTAAACACTCCACTTTCAATAAGTCTGTTTCTCTTTCTAAGGTCACAAACCAAGTGGTTTCCTCATATTGATAATACTATAAATTCCTAAGGAAGATAGTAAAGCACATAACATAAATACATGAAGCAGTTTGGATCTGACAGGGACTCATTCAGTAATTCTCTTTTTTAAGCTTCTCCTTAGCCCTCTTTCTTCCTCCATGAACACCCCACCTCTACTCGCATTTATTTGTTTTACTGATGGCTTCTAAAACCTGTTATGACATCTAGCCTTCCATTGCTTCATAGTTGGAGAGAGTGTAGGCTTGTGAAGCAGCAACCTCAGTCTGAATCGTGCTGCCCCACTAAGTAGGAAGGTGTTATCAGGCAAGATTCTTAACTTCTCTGAATCTGTTTCCTAACCTGTAGTACAAACTCAGTAGTTTTCCTGAAGTATTTATATTCATTAACCACATTAAAAAAAACACTGGCTCATAATGAATGCTCAATAAATACTGTTTTTTCTTTCATAGTTCAAGGAACTAGGAAGGAAGAAAAACAATGTTACCTATAAGTTCATACTATTTGAGCTAGCCATGGTGATGCACACCTGTAATCCCAGCACTCAGAAGCCTGAGGCAGGAGAATCACCCCAAGTTTAAGGCCAACATATACCACACAGTGGACCCTCTCTCAAAAAACAAAAACAAAAATAAAAATAAACTCATACCATTTAACCATCACAACCCTTTATCTTAACAACCTAAAGGAAAGTTCAATGGCAAAATACCAAAGAAAGGCTAAAATGTTCATCTGAAAAGAATCACTAAATGCTCTGCTAAGTTTTCACAGTTTCAGAAAACCCAATAATACTTCCCAAGAATTTCCACGGTCCCTACCTCAATCTCTAATAATAAGACCAACAGACCTGACATTTGTTTGCAGCTAGAATATACTGGCAGCTCAATATTCAATAAATTTTAATATAATCAAATATATTCAAGGTAGAGCATAATTTAGGAGGCTTTTTACACGTTAGAAGGTATTTCAAAACTTTACCCTATTTACTGGTTGGAACATTCATTAGTAATTTATTCTGGTTATTTTTACCGTCCATCTCTTGGGAGCTGTATATTAAAAGTTTACAATAATGCCTGCTGGAGGACCTAATAATCCGATAAGCACAAGTATTAAAATAACCGAAAAAGGGAATATGGACAAACAATTGCAAAGATGACATTTATTCCATCTGATAGAATATCCAATTATCTGTTTCCTATTCATGGACATTTCATCCTATTTTGAAATTCTAATGACCACTTTAGCCACACTCTGAAAAGTCATTTTTCTACAGTGGAGCCAATGGTTTTAGAAGCACATGGGGAGGTATCTAATATACCACTTGGGGTAAAGAAAATAAAGTATTTTTTCATTTCCTTAGCCCTCGAAAATTTGCTTAATGATATCAGTCCAAATGAAGCAGAAAATAAAGTAAAGTTATTTTAATTAGTTGGCAATTGTATTCAAAGTCTTATTACAATTTTTAAATACTCACAGTTTAAATCACAAATCATAGAAAATGATAATTTGCCTTTAAAATGCTGAGTTTCTTGGTTCATATTGTAAAAAGATATTATAAGAGGCCAAATGCAAGAAGAATTTTATAGAACATTTGTGGAATGAAATATGTGAGGAATTTCTCTAGTTTATTTCCTTAAAATGAGCCACACCAAAAAAATGTAACAGTGGGCTTTCATATATATAAATGTCCCTGAGCTCTCATAATTGTGGGGTTGTTAGACCTGCTTTGCTGTCAAAAAACTGAGGAATTCCAGGTGGAGGCCTTCTTTCCCCAATTGTTACTAAAGGTTTTATTTAATTACCTAGCTCAGCTGCTGTACTTAACATTAACAAAGCTTTGTCTTGCAAGGACTGTATACAGCAGACTTTTGGGAAGCTGATTACAGTTGGCTGGACCTTCAGAAATGTAGCATTCTACCTGGCAACCAACCCCAGGCGAGAGTATTCATTCACTTTCCATCTCCCCTTCCCAATGTGTTTGTGTACTGCTCGCTGACAACTGTAACATGTTTGTAGTACAAACAGTACTTTGAATTTGGGGTTCAAACCAGTTCAGGTTCTCTCATGTGACTGGAATGTTGGCATGGTTCAGAAAACAAAAGTCAACTTTGAAAAAAAGAAAAAATTGGCTCCTCCAGAAAGAGCGGTGGCTGAAGAGCTAAATAAATACACTGGCATGCAAACAGGGTGACAGGGTTCTGTAGGTGGCTGCTATAGGCTGTGAGACCTAAAACCACAAGATGTACTTTGCCCACCTGCTTGTGATAAGTGTTCAGCCGTTCCCTAGCAACAGCTAGGGTGTAACCGTTTGCAGCTTGGGTATGCAAGGCACAACCAATCAGGTTTAATTGCCAATCTAGAACCTTGCTGTAACTACTATAAAAACCCCTGCTGATTTGGAGTCAGGGCTCTCAATCTTGACCCGCTGCGGCGGTGACGGTTGGGAGTCCCTGCTCGAGCTTGGATAAACAACCCTCGTGTGTTTACATCAGAATCAGCTCCTTGGTGGTCTTTGGGGACCTCAAAATCTGGGCACAACATTTGGGGGCTCGTCCGGGATCCCCAAGACCCCCAGGATCCCCGTACTGGAGGGTCAATGCTGGCTGGTGAGTGTTTCTGTGTCTGTAAAGTCTGGGGCCCATTTTTCTGAACAGGTCGGCAGACGGTCTAGGCAGACGCGCTGGAGGGCTGCCGACCTGGGGTCCTGGAAGACGTTCCGGACCCCATAGGAGGGGACGGAGTGCCCCGTGAGTCTCTGAGCAGTTTTGCCTCCGATCGAGCAGAGGACTGTTTTGTCTTGCTTTTTGTGTTTCTGTTGTGTTTGTCTGTCTATCATGTAACTTGGACTGAGATGATGGGACAGACCGTGACCACCCCCCTGTCCCTCATGATGAGCCATTTTAAAGAAATTAGGGAGCGTGCTCATAACCTGAGTTTAGAAGTTAAAGAGACTAAACTTGTCACCCTCTGTAGCTCGGAGTGGCCTGCCTTTGGGATAGGATGGCCACCTGAGGGGACCTTTGATCTAGGTATTGTTACTTGGGAAAATCTAATATGTGACCCCCCTCCACGGGTCAAGCCCTTTTTGCCTCCACAGAAACAGCAGCCAGAGGTAATCCTGGCAGCCTGTAAAAAGACTCCCAGAAAATGCAACGGAAAAAGGCAAACTGACAATGAGCTGACCGCGCCGCTTTACCTGGTCCTCCAAGGAGGAACCGAGGAAGATCTCCTTCCCCCCCCTTACCACTCTCTCTCCACTCCCCTGCAACAGCAGGCAGGGGGAGAAGTTCTGGCCCCATCCGGAGCTGGGGAAAGAGGGCCGGCTCCGGGCACCGGCAGCGGGGATGGCCCCGCCCAGAACACTCCCCACCAGCGTGCCACCTCACCGGCAGGACCGGCAGACTCCACTATTCTCCCACTAAGGGTGACAGGGCCCCCTGATGAACATGGTAACCAGCATCATCACTACTGGCCCTTCGCCACTAGTGACCTTTATAACTGGCGTACTCAACACACCAAATTCTCAGACAACCCTAGAGATTTGATTAACCTGTTAGAAAC